TATGTGCATTCTATGCATTTTCAGATATTTTTGCAAATAAAAAGAAAGTACTTATACTAAATAGCTTGCAATTTCTATATACATTTTCATATCTGTTTCAAATTTTACCGATGTAGTAATCATGATAATCGAGTCTCGCAATGCTATTGAAATTTCAAAATGTTTCATACTACGCAGATAATATATGTTCATAGAAGACGTCTACTTTCGCACGCCTCTGTATGTTTCCTTTGACGCGTTCATAAGTCGTATCGAATAAAAGTTTACCCAGATACGCTCGATGCGTGCTGATTTTTGTTATTATGAATTTTGAATGAACGACTCCTTAGAAAGTATAATTAGCTTTTTCTTTTCCTAGCGTTCCGTATATTTTAATATCACAGCTATTTCCTCTGGACACGAAGAAGTTCGAAATTCTTTTCAAATGGTTAAAGCGCTTCTTTCGTCATTTTTTATTTAAATCGTTTCTTTAAATATCCGACGAATACACGCGTTTCTGCTTCAGAGTGTAAAGTAGGCTATCGCATAAAAATCTTACGGCATTAAATGTAAGATATTCAGGCTTGATTCGCGTCCTAGAATTTTATTTTATATCGTATTTCCGTGTTTTATTATGTTGATCGTTTCTCTGCTGTGTCATGCACGTTCGAATGGTACCCGTAACTCTCTGCAGAAATCCATTAGTCACACTAATACTGGTTCGAAACGAAAAACTTGTATGATTTATACTGTAAGAAATATTCTTCAAATAACGCCAGTCTTTCGGTAATTACTCGCTGTTCAACTGAATTAGGTCGCAAAAAGTTGATTCTCCCATTCGAAGAAATTATCGTCACCGTGTTATGTCTTCTAACGATCGTACGAATTTTCTACGCAATATTTTCGCTTGTTGCTTGAAGTAATGGATATATTTAGAATGGACAGTCTCGGACGAGACAACTCTGTTATTTCGAATGATTTTTTCATAATCTTGTATATTCGAATATGCAGACAACCTATATACAATAATGATAAAATTGAAGGAAGTTTACATAGAATTGTTCAGCGCTATCTTTTTAATTTCTTCAATTTTTTTCTACGGATGGATTGAATCTTAATTAGAATTTTGAGAAATCAAACCCTTTGCTGTTTGCATTGTCGATTACGTGACACCTTGTATATAATACTATTAATAAGATCGACAATTCTATTGAACGAAACGAACGTAGAATTTTTTAAATAACAACGTGACTTGGTAAAAATTTCTTTCTACCCTGATAGATCCTTTATATCTGCCCCCTTGCTAATAAGATCAATTTTATCGAGGAAACTGAACATGGAATTCTTGAAATGACAATATGATTTGGTAAAACTTTCCTATGATTCTTTCTACTTTGATAAATTCATCTTTAGATCTGTCAGAATGTAAAAAAGCCATCTCCCTTGCTCACCAAGAAAGATAAACGTAGAATTTTTGAAATGACAACATGACTTGGTAAAAATGTCCTATGGTTGTTTCTACCTTGATAGATCCATCTTTATATTTGCCAAAATTAAAAAAGAAATCAGCTGATTGCGCTGGTTCAGTTTGAGGTGTGCCCTTAAAAAATGAACTGGAATGTCGAGGAAACGTGAGAACAAAGTGCGACTATTAATTGCTAGTCAGAGACGGTATCTGAGGCGAGATACACCAATATGAGTATGAACATATCGTGGAATCATCGAATAAAGATCGTAAAAGTATAAAATATAGAATTTGCATTATCAGTTACGTGGCACTATGTACGTTATCTTGTTTGAGTCGCGACGACTATTAGATACAAAGAGGTATAGTCAGTGTGTACAAGTAGAAACGAAGAAATACTGAATAATTCAGGCAGTGACCGTAGCGAGTGACGTCATGATAGTATTCCACCGGTGGACGGTTCAAGCTGAGCGACCATGCGGAACCCCATCCGCTTAGGTCCCCGCTGAAAAATTTCAGCTTTCCGTACAAATTCCCTTATGCGAACGGGACACTGAAAGAAACCCTTGCCGGCTCATCGTGAAAGAAACCATAGGCAAAACACGTCGTCTTATCCTTCCATCATTTTACGCGCGTAAAAGCGATACCGACTTTTCTTCGCGCTCCTTGTGATACGGTGAAACCATCGGTGAAACCAACCTGGGACTTTGTATTCTTTCACCGTGTGTTACGAACTTTTTAATAATTTATGATATGTAACATACATGTAATTTATGATACATTTGTTCTACATTTATTGGTGATGAGAGATGGATGTTTTATTAGAGAAATAAAGAACATCATCGGAGTTCGTGGCTGTGAAAGCGAGTGTCAAGAATTCGTAATTGCTAATTCTTCATTTATTCCAGTGCAATTAATTATCCCAGATGCAGTTTCCTCTGCTTTTCTAATATTCTACGACGTTTTCAGCCGCTTCGTGTGATAACACGTCTCGTTTTCTGTTGGCTAAACTTCATATATAAATATGATAAATAAAATGTATATTACGTAAGACATATATTAAATAAACCTTCTTAATTGGTTTTAAGATCGTCCAGAGAGAATTCACATTTTACTGAAGTGAGTGGTTTTCCACTTTAAATCCAAACAGATATAACACTTAAATACACGAAAAGGATACTTTCAAAGAAAGATCAGCAGGAAGAGGAAGAGGAAGAGGTAGTAGCGATTCCTGTCCGGGACCCTTGTTGTATTCTTCAATGATTTCTTAATCGATAATACGCGCAGCAGAAGATGAAAACACTTTAGATAGAAAAGGAACGACTTTTGTTGTCATCTTCTCATTTTTCTTTCTATCCATCCTTGGTGGACCTATAGCTTTATATGGTTTCCACCGTAATAACCAGAGAGTGGAATAAACACACGCAACTACGAATAAATCCGAGTTTCAGAGGTGCTGGCTGGAAATTCGGATGTAGGAAATATTGAGTTTCGATAATCAAGGGTCGAAGCGCCAGCCGACCGAGCCAACGCGGTTCTTTCTTAGTCAATGATATAATAATCGATAATTACCAAGTTTACGTTTAAATAATACAAGTTACAGTTTGAAAATCTTTCCATCCTTTCGAACGAACGAAGAAAAATACAGACTTCTATCGTACAAACAGTTCTTACAATTTGACTTTGCACAGAACGATTTATTAATTTAATTATTAAGTATCTATTATACAGGGTGGTTGGTAACTGGCGGTACGAGCGGAAAGGGAAAAAAGAAGTCGAAAATATAGAATACAAATTTTTCGTTCGAGGCTTCGTTTTCGAGAAAATCGACTTTGAATTTTCGCTCGGTACGAGTGCACTTTATCGCGTCTCGTTATAACGGATCTCACTGTAGATCGTTGTCTCGATAGAAAAATTAAAAAAAAAAAAAATTTTACCAACCACCCTGTATAAAATATTACTTAATATTATTATAGAAACGTGTTACTATTATAGCAGAGGATCTACGTAAGAAGATTGTCATAAAGAAATTGGCCAATAGTATCATTTGAATTGCATGAGGCGGCCCAAGAGAGTCGGAGCGTTGAAAAGAGCAAAGATTCAAGGTTTTCGAAATATCGTGTATTTTTCTGCCACTGGCTGAGAGCAAATCTCCGCTGATGACTCTAATAACAGTGATAGTTGAACGCGTGGCGACCGAACGATGAACGCATGATTCTTTCAACATCTCGCGCGTCCTGGCTTCGTTATCAGGCATGGCCCATCGCCGGATATCTCGCAACTCGTACCGTATTTTTCCCGCCATTGTATGGAAATGTCAGAAACCTCGTGTTTCTTCGAACTTCTTTTATTCCCGGTGTCCGCGACTCGGCCACCGAAAAGAAAGAAATATGCAAATGTTAAAGGGCCTATCCGTTCGAATGGCGGTGCATCATCGATGCTCGAACCTTTTCAAGTTGTCCGAAGTAACTGTTCGCCGATGTCTAATTGTTTGCTCAATGACGACTTCGTGACTGGACTCGCGGAAAACTCCAGTCCTCTTTGTGCGTTTTCTATTCGACTTCTATTAGAATTCTGTTGGGGTGTATTAGATGGCGTTTTAGAAGACTTCCGAGGATGTTAGTCGAATAGGATCATTAATGTTGGGTCGTTCAATTATTTTCAGCGTGGTAAAGATTTCTATTCTTGGGGGAAAATTTGTTATCGATCCGTTATTCGATGTTTCTTGACGATACGAGTTCAGCCGGAGATTTTTGAAATATTTATCACGGATATGTTAAATATTTGTTGATATTGGCTGTAATTCTAGCGAAAATCCTAAAATGCTGTTTCAGGATGTGAATAAGTTCTTTAGGATAATAGTGAGAAATCTAGCAGATATTTTAGAAGGTTGATTAGGTCTAAAGGAAATTTTGGAATATCGTGATGATGAATTTGCTGGAAATTCTGTAGAATATTATTTTATAAAATAATAGCTCTGGAATATCAATTAGAAACCTGGTAGTAATATTAATAAGCATATAATACATTTAATACAAATCCCGGAATATCTCTTCATTAATTTATTTATCTTTTATTATTTATTATACGATTGTATACATTTGTATTTCATAGACTTATGCAATATTATACCTGGAATATTATTTTATAAAATGAAGGCGCTAGATTATTAATTGGAAAATCGACATAAAGTTTATTTTAACGTTTCCTTTACGTCTAACGATGATTAGAGCAATGTATTATTTTAAATAAAATATACCGCTATTGATAAAGCAATGTCTGTACAATAAACAGGCGTACGCTCTGCTAACGTCGAATCGTGTTCACTCCACCGTGTGAAAATCTCCTACGCAAGGTGAAACCTTGTATTAACGCGTGTATATACGTCGTACCACGTCGTTTCTTTCTTCTTTTGAAACGATTATTACGTTCAGGAAAGTCGTTCGAGAGCTGGACACTTTCCTCGTTAAACTTAAAGTGCGACAAAAGTAAGAAATTGAATTTAAAAAGAAAATAATTATTACTGATAATTATTGGTGTGATAATTATTACTGACCGTTAACTGATTTCGTCATTTTTGTTTTTTGTTTCAGCAATACCGATCGTTGATAGAAGAGAACCGAAGACTTCAGGAAGTTTTAGCGAGCACTCAAATACCTCACGTACGAGTAGTCGACAATGTTTTCCTGCAAACACAAGTTGAAACATTGCAATGGCAACTGAAACAGGTCTCTATTTAACCATAAACCACGATCGTTTAACATACCTGATTTACAAGAGGAAATTGTTGATGTCCTCGACCAGATTACCTTATCCCCATTCCTTGAATACTTCACCGTCTGTCCGCGAATAATATTCCACTGCCATTTTTAACACTTTAGTACCTGTACGAATATTAAGAATTAAAAGTATGCAAAGAAGTGAAACACTTTGGCAATTTTAAAACAGTACAGCTTCAACTTTAGACAGAGGCAACTATTTCTACATCTCTTTTGACAAAGTTTTTTATAGTTTAATAAAAATACCACAAAATCGCTTTGAATCCCCATTCCTTAAATATTAAAGTTTCAAATTTATTGTACTTGTGCACTTATTGAATAACCACAGCATTATTGTTGCCCACACAATAGTTACATACGATGTTATATATAAATAACTATTTTGTATGCAACAAAAATGTTGTGGTCATCCAGTAAGTGTGTGTGTACGTTTGAAGCTTTTAATACTCCAAACCTGTGCACAAATCTTTATATAAAACTATAATATGTTAATAATACAATGTGATTGAAACGTAATATAAATCTATTATAGAAACAAAACAGTGTAAATTGCACGAATATTTATTTATAAAAAATTTTACAGATGGAAGCAAATAGAGAGATGTACCGTGCCCTGATGGAGCAGGTGCTGCGCTTCCTGGACCGAGCCCGCAAAAGCTTGGATATTCTTCACGAGAAGAATAATCCTAAGGATAAGAAGTCAACGGGACGGTTTCCACGTAGCTATAGCGTTCACACTGTGCATGCAGATTCCCCGTCGAATCATGTTTCCTTAGCACCATCGTCTTCAACTTCCTCTCGTTTCATGAAGTCGAAATCGGTCACACAGATCTCACCGTGCACTACCAACTACCGCGAATTCACTTGGTCGATGCTTCGTAGAAACGATCCAGCGCATTGTACTTCTCCACGTAATAAATCTCAGGATCTCAATAAAACTCATGACAGTGTTGTTTATAAAAGCCCTACGCAACCAAAGCTGGACCCGAATGATATACCGCCCCAGAAACTATCCCAAGAAGCATTTAGGTACGTACCTAGATACCTAAGTGATTAGAATAATTGTTTTGTAGTGTTTAGTTACTAATAAGCAACTTTAAATATCTCTTTATTTAAAATATTTGAAGATAGTAAACTATTTTTAACTAATTGTAAATTAATTGTTTCAGATTAATGAGAACGGTTCAGTCGTTGCTCTTAATGAGAGAACCGGATCTGACCAGAATCTCGATAGAAAATAACGAATCCTCCCCATCGCCCATAGAGGGTCATCGTTACAATAATCATCACAACGAGGTATCAGTGACCTTGCAGGATGGTAGTTATGTAAATCCAACGTGCTTGCAGGGAGCTATCGGGTATTCCAGTTATGACCATGGGACCGAATCAAGTAGCACCGATAACGACAGTAGGAGTTTCGTAAAATCATCGTCAAACATTGTTGAAGTTAGTCAAAGTTTGCATAATCTTCTCCCTGGTATAAGAAGATCCCTTGACACCACCTCACTTAACTCAGGAAGCAGCAAAACTACTGAAGAAGAGGATCTACTTCCAAATAATAACTGTTTAAACGTATCCATATCGAATCACAAACATATTTACGTATGTACGCCGACATCTACGCCAAATAGGCGTGTTAGAAAAGTAGAGAAAAAGGAAAAATCTTCGAAATCAAAGCCAACTGACAGTGTGAGTAGCGTCGAGGATGAGAGTGGATTTTCTTCTATGAGTTCTTTTCAAGAAATTGGTTTACCCAACATTCTGCCAATTTCTCCTATAAGAGGTTGTCATCAAGAGGTGGGTTTACCGGTAGTACCATTGGAAAAAGCTAGACGTCGTAGATGGTCTTCCACTCCTGCTGAAATTCGAGCTTTCTTTAATAAACATCGTAGTAGCTTCACCGCCTCTCAAACTACCACTGAATCTTTAAGTGTTTGGGTTTGAATGATTTTACTAGCAATATACATAAACTACTTCCTAAACGAAATGACTCTGATGAATGCACTTGATATATTCAAGCATAAACAAATGATCGAACATAGAAGGCACAGTCGATTATTGATACGGTAATTTCTATTATAAATACTCCTGTCTGAATATTTCTAGATCAGTTTTACATTTTATGTGTTCTTGTTCGGGAAAGTTTTATTCTTTAAGAAACGTTTAAGACAGTTTAGAGACAAACGTAATGCGAATAATTGATACGTTAATTTAAAATTTCTTTCTCTTTCTTTTAAAATTTGTTTCTCACTTATTTGACTTTAGTTTTATGAATGACTTGATGCATTACTACAGAATATAAACTTGTTCAGAGTTTGATTAGAAGGTTAATATGTATACAAGTGTAGTTAGTACTTTTACATTTATTAGGAAAACAATTCTTAATAGTTGTATGCAAAAGATTTTGTAAAAGTTGTCTCCAGCATTTGTATTGACAAAAGTAATCGACAATCATATACATCTCTTAGATGTATACCAATATTGTAATTGAGCATTTTGCATTTTTACTGATATTTTAAAATATTTTAAACAATTTCAACTTCCATTTTGAAACAGTGTTCAATTTGTACTTACAAGTATTACTATACAACACAAGTCATTAAAGCTGTACTCTGCTTTATCTTTCATGAATTTGTACATAAATAATGATATATAAAGTATTTGAATATTCAATATAGTAGAAGTTTTTTCACTTAAAATATAATTACTTTTAATAATATAATTAATTATAAGATTTCCTATATACTAATATCTAAAATACTTTGATAACATTTGTTTACATTATAACATTTTGTCCTTTTTAGACTTAAACAAATATATGCATCTTTATTTTTATACATGTAATCATTACACTAATGATTGATTATGTGATATACGATACTTTTATCAGTCTAATAACTTTACATTTTTTATACAGCTTTTACATACTTTTTTTTCATCGATGCACTGTTCTAGATTGTGCGGTTGTAAGTAGACTGAACATGTTTATGCAAATCTGTATTTTTATGAAATACAGTTAACAAAATAGGATCTCTTAAATACTATAAATATAGATATTTTGTACATTTTTGTACACTTGAATTTACATAATAAGCATCTGCAATCTAGTTATAAGCTATTGAAAATTAACATTATAACACCCATTATAAATAACTATAGCATATAGGAAGTAACAAAAATATTATACATAACATTAAAAATAACAAAAATTTGTTAGAAAGGAGCGAACGGCAGCGCTTTCAACTTCGAAACGCACACAAAGCACTGAACTTATCGAACGCAAGCTAGAAATTTAAAAAGATTTGAGCGAGGAAAACACTTGATCATTAAATGGGGAAATATAACGTGAAATAAAGAAAAAGGAAAGAGATATCGTGAGCGAAGATTTAACGAAACGAAAACTGCTGATCATGGCTGAGAAACGTTCGTGGATGGGCGGTGTGAGAGGTCGGGGGACGGATGCGCGCGCATCGCGATAAGGCAAAAGTAGAGACACTGTTCGTTATCAGTACGGCAGGCGTCGTTCACTTGTTCGCGAGTCGGTCCAGAGGTTAGCCAGGAGATTGCGCCACCAGCCGATCCACTTTTAGATTGATTTTCAAGAGCACCGTGCACTGGGTATAGCGCTCCGCGTTTATTTTAACGTGGCCAGAGTGTTCGAACGGGCCGCGACCGTCTCGGGTGATAGTAGAAACATCGTGACGAGGTGAGAGGTTCGGGTGCGGGCGCCTTTTCTCTCTGCCGGTCTGGAAGAACGTCGTTTAATCGTGTCCCACGGGAGGCACATTCGTTTCTCGTTGGCCTGCGTGCTCGTTGTTATTACTACACACCGTTACGTTCGTGTGTCTGTGTGTGCTGTTTCTCCTACGCGTACACACTTGCAGTTTGTATAGTCCCGTGTGTACACACATAGAAAGTCTATCTATATCTGCCGTTCGTTCTTTCGTGCGGTGTTCCGTGTACTGAACGGATTGTGGTGTGCGTGTGTAACCCTCAGAACGTGCGGCTTCGTGGCGCAGTGCGTGAAATGAGTGACAAGGATCGTTCCTCTCCCACTCTTGTTGAAAACAGTCTTAAGTCGCTGCTCGATCAACCTAGTATTTTTCCATTGATTGGTAAGTATCCGCTGTAAGACTATTTAATTTCAGATAAATATAACGATATATCTTTTTAGCGTATCTTTTCTGTACGAGCTCGATAATCTCCCCTCCTATCCCTAGCTCGTTCTCTGCCTTGTTAGAACGCGCATTTTTCCTTTTCTTCGAAATTCGCGCACAATACTACTTCAGCGCTGACTGGCGGCGATTCGACGAATGCCAAACACGTTTTTCTCTCGTGTTTTCATTGACGAATCGCTGTGTCGCGTTGTCGATATTTTTCTTTGAACATGGAGGGGTTCTGTGACGTTTAAATTTTTATGCTAATCATTTACTTTTCTTCCTCTCGTTCATTGGTATCGAGCAGCAACGTATAGAGGAAATGAAAAAAAGACAAGGTTATTTGAGGGATTTCGTTGAAGTAAGATAGGAAAAAAGGAATAGAGAATAGTAAGCACGCATTTTATGTTCATTGGTTGCGCCGGCGCTCGCTTCTTGGTCTCTCGATTAACCTCGTTTGGACCCCGTGGTGCACCACGTGATGTTACCAACCTAACCTCACTTTCACTTGCTCAACCTATATGTTCGGTTCTGTTCGGCTCAATACGACTATTTTACTAAGCGATTTTAACTAACCTTCCCGATTTGATCATGGGAGGAATGCTTTTAATGCCATGTGATAGATTTCAATGCAAAGTGACAATTTCGTGGTAAAACTATCGACTTATATTTATTGGATATCAATTGTCTATAGAATTATATTCTTTTCTGCATCACTATTTACAACAATGCCTTATTATTCTTTGGTATTCCATTTTCGATTGCTTTGAATGTAAAAAATGCGTGTTCTTTCAAGTTTATTGACACATTCCGTACTAGACATACAAAATCATGAAATAGTTTCTGAACACTAGAGTATATCAATATTTTATAAATTAGGTCATTTTCAATAATAATTGTGTAATTATGAAATATAATTTATGTAACAAGTATAATGAACACACGTGGGCACATGGATCATCGATGTTCCACGCGGTTTGTACAAATCGTATAAATTTGGTGTACATGGAATGTGTTAAAAGAAACAGAGTGGGGGAGTAATAAAGAAGGGAGAATGAAATAAAATGTTGGTTGCGTATGTGTTTACTTAGCTTGCTATTCGACCATATCTATCTTAACTGACGTTCATGGTTCTACGTCAGCTTCACAAATGGAATTACATTTGTATGGAGTTTAGAAATTATTTAACTTTTATATACTGCGCCCTTTAACACGTTTGTTCCAATATTATTAGCAAAATTTGTTAGAATAAGTTAGAAATTAGAAGTTACCAGTATTTCTTCTTATGCAATTCTACAAGCGAATTTTATAAATTACAAGGACTGTCCTGTTCGATATAAGACTGCAAGATTATAAGAATCATTTATACAATACAAATCTACATGTATGATTTATGATTTGTCACTTGTTAATGTACACTAACAGCAGTTAATAAATTATTGTGTAAAAGACTTCTGGCGTAATAATCGACTGAGGCTCCATTTCAAACCTGTCATTGTTTCTTCTCTGAAGACACGCTTTTTCGCTAGGTTAATTTACATAGCACTTTACATGGTGCGACGCGTAAAATGTAAGTAACGATCCAAAGTGCGTCTCTCAAGCTATATATGTATATCGAGAGGCAATAATCCGACTTTCATGAGAGCTGCATTATCTATGGAACAAGGTTCGAGTCCACCTCAGGTAATTGTGTTTTGCGCAATCGCGGCATTCGTTCAACTTTTGTCTATCGGTAACAACAAAACAGAAATAAAGAAAGTGAAGCAAAAAGTAAAATGCGTTGTACACTACGTAGAGAAAAAAAAAGAGTGAAACCGTGGTAATCCAGTGGAAGTTAATTACCTTAACGGCGTTGTACCAATAATTCGAAACATAGAGCCAGTAAATTAAGGACAGTTCCCTGATTCAACGTAATGGCTTACTTCCCATTCGGCTTTGCAACCAGTTTCATATGCTATTTGCGATGAAATTGGTTTCATTGTAAGGTGACATGAGGCGATTAGAGTGAGTAATCATAAAAATCATTAGAAATATTTGAAAATCATTATGTTGTTGCTATCTGGTAATTTAGCCGATCTGTATTTGTTTTAGGTTCTAGCTATTTGTTTCAGGTTTTAAGTAGTTATAATGTGGATAAAAGTTCGCTGGTTAGATTGGTATTTGACGAGTAAGGTTTTCAACCAAAGAAGGTTCACAAGTTCTTCTGAAAAATTTTTATTTACTTTTAAGAGGTTAGTTTGCCCTGAGCACGTGGGAGTCATGGGTAACTTTAACAGTCTTTAAGGGGAAAATTATGAAGTAAATCGAAAATCTGTTTGGCATAAGCGTAAATTTTTTTAATGAAAAAAAATGCTTATCATTTTTACAAAAATCAATATTTTACATATGTACATATATACATAGCTTTCTGCGCATTTAAGATGATTAATCTGTATTTATTTTTTAGTGGTATTTTGGTTGTCGATATTGCGCCATGTGAGTCAGACAGACTTTTAAGTTAACCATACAGAAAATCAACATCTACTATCGTTATCTATATTTTCACACTTGAGTTTTTACGCTACAGACGTTTAATTTTTAAATCGATTTCGATTAAATATCATTAGACTATTGTCCCGACGATCTTGGTATAGTTATCGTGTCTAACTTATCTTTGATCCACGGTTTATAACTTTGATAAGATGGCATTCTTTATTCAATTACGTTTCATTATATGTATATATTTATATCATTAGTTTCCTAAAAAAAGTAACAGTAATAAGAAAAGTAAATTTTTCAGGAAACAGTAAGTTCACTGCTATTTCGTTCACACTATTTTCTTTACTACTAAAAAAGGCGTAAGTTAAATTACTAATAAAAAGAAAGGTAATATTGTCGTTATTACTGCTATTATTTCTGTAACATAATTTTATGGGTAGTTATGAGGTAATTATTTCCCATCTTAGCAGATGATGATTACTTCTTTACTTAAATTCTTGCTTATTTTTGCAAGTATCTCAGAAATGAGGATTCAGCAAAACCAACGGTATTTCCACAAATTAACAGACGACAGGGATAACAGTCGTTTTATCGAATATTAAAAGAACACGTGGTCTTGGTAAGAGAATTTATATTTAAAAGCGATTACTTAGTGTTAGATGTGTAAGCGAGGCAGATTTATGGTGGCGATTAAGTAGCACAAAGGAGACATTTTTTGGTGCATATTCAATGACCAGGCAGTTTACTGTTCGTAATTATCATGTACGACACTTTCACGCGATGTAGTTGGACATTAATTTCAAGATTGACACTGAGATAACACGTTACGTCATGACTTCGCTCAAGGACCGACGTTTGTCATTGCAGAAATAGAAGTAAATTGCGAATTTACGGGTATCTGAAAAAAGTAGCCGTGGGTGGAAACGAACACACCACGTGTTTCGCTCTAACAATCCATCCCACTCGTTTCAGCAACTAATTGGCAATGTATTTAAAATAGCCAGATTTTAATATTTTGATGTCTGTAAATATTAAATAATGGAACCTCATTAATCGCGATACAGTTCGATATTCTAATTTTTATTTCAAGTGTTTACGATAAGTTTTCGATATTTGCCTAGATTATCCGTTACGCCGATTAATCAGTACTTATTATAATTATCTGTTAGATGCGCGATCTTTGCATGTAGAATATTAAATACTTCAACAGTTGATGGCATTGTCGAGGATAAATCTTGAAGTACTCCTTGTATGTGTTCCATATATTTTAAGTAAGTTAATCTTTCAAGCGAAATTTGTCTTTCGAATCTGTAGTTTTATCCAACGAGTTTTAAAAAGCTCGACTTAACGCATTGTAGAAACATCGGTAAGTGTCCCAGAATCTTTTAAAAAAAGTTTTTTCTATAGGGAAAGAGACTCTCACGTCATAACAGGCACGTTTCTGTCCTAAAAACGTTCATGTTACGAAAACATCGATGGAATACTAACACTGGACATTATTAAACGATTCCTCTACAATAACAAACAAATTTCCAGGACGTTCTTATTTTTCTCGTCTTCTGTGAAACAAATAAAAATCCACGAGGAGAACGCTGCATAACGTTGGTATAATATAGAAGTGTCTCCGGATACAAAGTTATCAGGACGACGAAGAAGAAAACGAGTTAACTGGTGTTAGTCGGTTGAAAGGTCAACGGATGATGAAAATTCCCGAAGGGTAATTCGGTGATAATCTTGAGAGACTGATATCACCCAGTGGCGGTTCGATTTCTTCTTCGAGCAACGTCACTCCTACGTTCTTATTATTTTATTTATTTAAACTGATATTCACCTCTGGGCGACTGTTATAGTATACAGATATATTACATAGGCTTGTGCAATACTATATTAGACCAGTCTGTTATTAAGTAATTACCGACATTGCATGTTATAACAAATGTTATGTCCATTATACAATATTTACATTGTATGATGGGCATATTATGTATAACAGATGTCAATTACGGTGTATGCTGTTGTTGCCTCACTGCAGCCACGTTAGTTGGACAAGGATTACGTCGCTTAGGAATTTCTAGAGATGTTTCACCACTCCCATCTTGTCATGCTGCTGCTTTTTCGGGAGACAACCGTGTGATGAGCTGCACTTTTGCGTCAACGTCCGATGAACATTGCAGTTTACTTCTCGACGACAGACCTGAATGTTTGGGGAACGTTGGCGTGAAAGTGCAGCTTATCACACGGTTGTCTCCTGAAAATTCAAAATCCGTGACAAAACGAAAGTAGCGAATCGCCAATCATCGTCAAAGTTTAAAGTTAATCGAAATCTAAAATTCACTTCCTTCTAATTTACGCTCGATTTAACCAGTTACCTGTTTCTGACGAATATACTCGTCAGGAAGAAACGACAGTAATTTGCGTTATCACGAGCCTTGTCAGTAACAAAATTAAAAAATAAAACAATCATTTCGTTACAGCTTAATTCTCCATTATGACAGCCACTCATACTCCGTGTTTGACGAGTATACTCGTCGTCGTTTACCTTTTGCCACGCATTTCAGGTGCACACTTTGCAAGGAGATCGCAACAGCTAACTGGTTAAAAGACGTTTGGAACGCTATATCCTCTATATTCGTTTCGATACTTTTGCAAATCAATAATTACGTGCTTCGCAGTCTTCTTGCACGTTATAGACGGACATGGTCTATGGTCTTCTGGCTGGTTTCTTTTTATTCGTCTATTTTTTTTCTTTTTTTTTTTCGTGAGGCCTAACGGACGTTGGGATCGACGAGGCCGCTCGCCTCTGGCCTGGCGTGGCCTCCAACCGAGTACCGCTCTTTTGGCAACCGGCCAGAGCTTATGCCAGGTTTCAACATACCGGTCGACATGGATATTTTCGGGTTTGCGGTGAAACGACAAGCTCTGCCTTCTCTTTCTTTGCTTCGATGACCTCGTCGCGTCGTGAAACACCATCCCTGATGTCTCGTCCCCATCCCGATCTTCTGATTGACTCCAGCCCCTGCACCCTTTTCGCCAGATATCAACGTCGAACCGTCCCATGAACGATGCCTGCTTCCGTTTTATCGATCAGAGCGTGCCAGCCGAACGCCAAGGTCTGCCCCCTTGTGCGTTGAATCACGTGCAACTTTTCTGATCCATTAACGCGTTAATTGCTGCACGAAATTTTATATATTTTGCCTATGGACCGCAATCAGCCGATTTTTTAATATGCTTCAAGTTAGAATGTTTTTCGGGACTGGTTTGGTCATGTGATGATGGTTAGAGTATGAGATCATTGTCGTTGTATAGGAGGAGGAGCAGGAGGCTCGAAAGCAAAATATATTGGTAATTTATTGGCGAGTTTATTGGATTATCTTTGGTGAGGGGAATTGGTTGGTTCTTAGCGGCTGTACTGCGGATATTTCTGTATTTATGGGGAATTTTATGACACGGTAGGCTAGACATCGCCATTTCGGTTTGGGAAAGAACATATTATAAAGAGTTTGAGGAGACAGTGTTTGGCCAGATATACAGAAACGAAATTCAGCCGCTAACTGTTTCTTTAAAAGTTCGAGAAATTGTTTGTAAAATATACACGATATACGTACAAGAGTGAAATTCAGACATTATTTCACGCGAAGTGAACAAGAAAGACAATGGAGAATAGTGTATTTAAATTGCGTACATATGTAACAATGAAAATTTTGTTGGACAGTAATCTGCTTGGAATTTAAAGAAACTGAATATGATATACACTTAAATATGTGTATCTGCGTAAAATGTATCTGCGGCTTGATGCAAGAAGTACCAATGTCAGCATTTATAAAGTTGAGATGTTAGGACTTAAGGATACGTTAAAGAATTCACGTTCAAATAATCTCTGATACAGAAGTTTCTGCTGTTTGGAAATTTTTTTCTAATACAAAAGGAGAGAATTTTCTGGTACAGAAGGATTTTCGTGTAAAAACGATAAAAGCAAGTGATTTTTATAAATTTTTTTACACCAGATAATAATTACACTGTATCTAAATCTTTTTGGGATGTAAATGTAGCCTTGAAGTGCAAATGTAATTTTTTTACTTCAATTCTCATTGTTGTCTATTAGCTTTTTAAACTGCCACTTTCAATACTTTTCGAACTGTGGCGCACGAGAAACTAGTTGGTTCATCAATTTCGAACAAGGTTTACTCACTTTTACAAATTTCTCCAGGGAATGGACCTGAAATTTTCATTCCATTGTTCCTTTATAATATTTTTTGGAACTATACAAACTCAATGTATCCGGCGAAGGAAGTACATTTTTCTTCTAAACGCTACAGCTCTCCAAATTTTCATGTTTTTCTTTTAAACATAAGAAACTTCCAACTTTAAGAAAATTCCTTAACTTTCGCATTCTGACGACCGTGACAAATACTATTACCGCGAGCGTCAACAATGGTTACATTGCCAAATTTAATCAGGACATTCGTATAATATACGACGAACAATAAGAAGAACTAAAATAAACAAAATTACTTTAATTATTTAATTTAATTAATTAATTGATTAACAAACGCGTCTCGCCTCTGGCCTGGCGTGGCCTCCAACCGAGTACCGCTCTTTTGGCAACCGGCCAGAGCTTATGCCAGGTTTCAACATACCGGTCGACATGGATATTTTCGGGTTTGCGGTGAAACGACAAGCTCTGCCTTCTCTTTCTTTGCTTCGATGACCTCGTCGCGTCGTGAAACACCATCCCTGATGTCTCGTCCCCATCCCGATCTTCTGATTGACTCCAGCCCCTGCACCCTTTTCGCCAGATATCAACGTCGAACCGTCCCATGAACGATGCCTGCTTCCGTTTTATCGATCAGAGCGTGCCAGCCGAACGCCAAGGTCTGCCCCCTTGTGCGTTGAATCACGTGCAACTTTTCTGATCCATTAACGCGTTAATTGCTGCACGAAATTTTATATATTTTGCCTATGGACCGCAATCAGCCGATTTTTTAATATGCTTCAAGTTAGAATGTTTTTCGGGACTGGTTTGGTCATGTGATGATGGTTAGAGTATGAGATCATTGTCGTTGTATAGGAGGAGGAGCAGGAGGCTCGAAAGCAAAATATATTGGTAATTTATTGGCGAGTTTATTGGATTATCTTTGGTGAGGGGAATTGGTTGGTTCTTAGCGGCTGTACTGCGGATATTTCTGTATTTATGGGGAATTTTATGACACGGTAGGCTAGACATCGCCATTTCGGTTTGGGAAAGAACATATTATAAAGAGTTTGAGGAGACAGTGTTTGGCCAGATATACAGAAACGAAATTCAGCCGCTAACTGTTTCTTTAAAAGTTCGAGAAATTGTTTGTAAAATATACACGATATACGTACAAGAGTGAAATTCAGACATTATTTCACGCGAAGTGAACAAGAAAGACAATGGAGAATAGTGTATTTAAATTGCGTACATATGTAACAATGAAAATTTTGTTGGACAGTAATCTGCTTGGAATTTAAAGAAACTGAATATGATATACACTTAAATATGTGTATCTGCGTAAAATGTATCTGCGGCTTGATGCAAGAAGTACCAATGTCAGCATTTATAAAGTTGAGATGTTAGGACTTAAGGATACGTTAAAGAATTCACGTTCAAATAATCTCTGATACAGAAGTTTCTGCTGTTTGGAAATTTTTTTCTAATACAAAAGGAGAGAATTTTCTGGTACAGAAGGATTTTCGTGTAAAAACGATAAAAGCAAGTGATTTTTATAAATTTTTTTACACCAGATAATAATTACACTGTATCTAAATCTTTTTGGGATGTAAATGTAGCCTTGAAGTGCAAATGTAATTTTTTTACTTCAATTCTCATTGTTGTCTATTAGCTTTTTAAACTGCCACTTTCAATACTTTTCGAACTGTGGTGCGCGAGAAACTAGTTGATTCATCAATTTCGAACAAGGTTTACTCACTTTTTACAAATTTCTGCAGGAAATGGACCTGAAATTTGTATTCCATTGTTTCTTTATAATATCCTTTGAAACGATACAAACTCAATTTATCCGGCGAAGGAAGTACATTTTTCTTCTAAATTTTCACGTTTTTCTTTCAAGCATAGATTCAATTTCAGTGCAAAGTATCCAACTTTAAGAAAATTCTTTAACTTTTGCATTGTGACGACCGTGACAAATACTATTACCTATTGTAAACAATGATTACATTGCCAAATTTAATCACGAGACTCGTATAATAAGAAGAATTGAAATAAACAAAATTATATGTACTTCAAGCTTATCCACTTACATCCCAAAAAGTTCTAGTATCACAATATAACTGATCTAAAAATGAATCCTTAAAAATGACCTGTTTTTTTCGTTGTCATTACAAGAAATCCTCCACTTTAAAGTTTATGTTGTTCGTGTATTTCACGCTCGCTTTGGTATATTTTGCAAAAAGTTAATTTTATCAAAAATTTCGACATTGCCATATATAAATGCCATTTATAATCGTTTCCAGATAAAATTTGAAATTGCCTTTTTTCGTATTGAACATATGGCTGTTTACTTAAACTTAAAGTACCAGGTTTAATCCTTTTTTGCAAACATACGACGTTTCACGTATCTCGAACCATGTTGCGGATATAAAAATGACATTCAATCGTTGCTGCAGCGCAGCTTTAAAAGAGAAAATCCAGTCACGGTGTTCGAATGTAAAATACGTACAAATAAAATTTGGACACCTGGAACCAAGGGAATTAGTGTATGGTAGGTGTAAAATAGAAGGAAAGAAATGATGTTAGTCGAAGGAAGGTTTTCTTGCTACTTGTTAACATCCTCGAGCTATGGTAATAAGTTGCAAGACGAAGCTTATCTGCTTCCAACTTGCTTACTCATTATTGTGTTGGTT